TGTCATGCGCACTGGAAACAAATGTGGTTCTGGTACATCTGCGGTCATCACTACAATTAGCTTCAGGTAACATTAAAAAACTGTGGCAGTGTGCTGGCAGCCGTGGTCTGAAGCAAGGCAATGCAGAACACCACCAGACAAGAGCTTTTGAGCCTAAATTAATCACATGTACAGTTGTAATTGGGACATTACACAAAAACACTGAAAACTCAATGATACCAGGTACTCCCTGAGGCTGCAAAATAGTACAGATTTGTGTCCATAAGATTGATCTTGAGGTGGTCACCTACCTTAGGTGCAGCATTCAGAATTTTGCACCCAAGATGTCATGCTGCATCCATGATCAAAAGGGATGTTACACAATACAGACCACAGATGTACATCATACATAGTCTGCTTATACTCACACAAATTTGGGATTTGTTCCAAAGACTCAATTTTCATATCCACCAAGTCCAGCTCTGGGTTGCCAGACTCCCGAGCTTCCTCCACTGCCTTTTTTACCTTTGACATCTTGATATCTGAAACATCAACTCTGAATGTTAGCCATGGGGACACCCTCCAGCAAGTCCTAACCCCACAATCCAATCAAGAAATTCTGGGCCAAAGGCAGAATTTTGCTGCAAAGGTATAATGTGCCCAATGCTTGGTACTGCCTGTCCTTACCTCTGGCATCATCTGGCCTTTAGTGTGGCTGCCGCAAACCATATGTCATCACAATCATGGGAATTCTTAACCTCTTCCATTGCTCTCTCACTTTCAATGAATGGCATACATCTATCTGTGACAGTGCACCAGCACCGGCACATGTTTGAACAATGCCAAAAGCATCCACACATCTCAATGTGATGATCTCACACATCAAATGATGGTCCAGCCACTTACTAACATGATTACACATTAAGGTGAGCTGATTAACAATGGCTTTGCCCAGACAGAATCCCAATTGTCACATCACTAAGCAAGCCAATACATTACACAACAGGGATTTACACAGCCTATAAGCTGTCATACAACTTCAAGACAAGAATGCAGACAAAGAAACAAAGAACTGGTTTACAGGAAATTGTATCACTATACACAGAAAATAAATAATGCAAGCAAATACTTCAACCAATGAAGCTAGATCATTCATGTTATTCCCCATTACATCACTATACATGAAAAAGGAGCATTAAGTAAATGGTTTAGCCACTCAAGCTTGCTTATCCATGGTGCTGCCATTGTGCTCACACTAGGTCCAAAATATTTGCCATTGCAGAACAGCCACCTAAAAATTGACTCCATATTGAGGCCGGCAGTGTGCGACGGGCCATGGTTGTCTCTATCACTTTGATGGTAGCCACAGCTTCAGGGAATAATGATGTTGTTTAAGTTATTCCAGAAAAAGTACTCCAGACATTTTCATAAATATAATTAGAAAATTCAGCACAATTTGGCCTGCCCCGAGTCAAGTGCACACAACTGTATGGTTTGGCAAAATTATTTTGCATAGGTTTGCAGCACAGTGGATGGACTTTTTGCAAATTGGAGCAGAGTCACTATACCTGCACAGTAAAGTATAACCTGTGTGGGCCTCACACTTCCTAAAATTGCCTGAATCAACTAAATCTATTACATGAATCATACAATGTTGATGTATCCAATTCCATTCATTCCAGCCATTTTAGGAAGGCTACAACTGTGATACCCAATACTGCAAGGAAATGAAACTAAATTATGTTAATTCAGGCCATTTAGGAAGTGTGAAACCTGTACCAGCAACACCCACAATAAGGCTGGGTTGTGTATCTCAGAATTGAAAACTACAGATTACACCGATAAAATAGGTTGCCAAATACAAACAAGCAGTATTTTTTTCAATAAAACACATATAGAACAAAGTCCTGTGAAGTCTGAGCATCCAGCAAGCATATGTTAAGGACATTGGAGGCCAGGTGTGAACGGCAGTGCATATTAGTCAGCAGCAATGAGGGTTCTCACGCATAATATGTTACACGGGGTTATAAGCCATTATTATACGACATACCTAAAAATTCTAACAATTTTCAATCCTTTTGCCACTGCACCTAATACAACCAGCCCAACAATACTCAACCACCGCAAGGCACGACCCTCCAACCTCCACCAGCCCTCGCCCCCACACGATCCACGCCCACGAGCGGATACTCGACGCAAATTAGTCCACATTCAGCCCAGAATCAGCCCAGCACAGATTTGGCAGCAAAAGTGTAGAGAATTCCCTTTGCGGCTGAACTCTCCTCAGACGCCGAAGGACTCGTGTAAATCGACTCATGGGTATATCTGCTCAGAATAGCTCCTCTGCTTAAATCTACTACGAAGCGGATATACAAAAAATGCCGCTCTTGTGTTAATTTACTCAAATCTGAGCCGATTTACACACAGACGAACTGCCATGCAAATCCACTTGTACGTAGAATCTACGGAACACTGCAAGTGTAGATCTGTGTAGATCTGATCCACACCAGGGTGACCTCACGAATAGATCAACTCAGGTCTGAGCAGATTCACACAGGAGCACCATTTTGTGCATATACACTCCCGAATGGATTTAAAATCACCAGCTGTTTTGTTTAGATGCACTCATGACATGGTATACAGAGCGGCGCCATTCTGTGTAATTTCACTCGCGAGTGCGGTTTAAGCAGGGAAGATGCTCTATGTAGATGCACGCGTAGCATGATATACGTAGAAGCGCCATTTCATATGATTTGACTCGCGAGTGGACTTAGGCAGAGATGTTCTGTGCAGATCCATTGATGATGTCACACACACACATGTGTGAGTCGCATCATGATGTAAACTACTCAGGAGATGAAGTGTGTTCAGCGGAGCAAACTCGCGAGCTGAACTTTGACTTATGGAAGGTCTCACCCGCGCCCGGCCAGGGAATCGACTTACCCCTGCGGTTTTTCGAGCACAATTAAAAGAACGAACACCCGCAGCGGCACGGAATTTCCACTACTAATCTATTTATCAGTTTGGCCTCCTTTGGGTAACGCTGAAGTTTTGATCTACCTAGATCAATGACATTGATTACGTCAAAGAGCTAAGCATTGAAAGACTTTGCGCACACACAGCTTTTTGTGGCTATTGGCCATTGTTCAGACTTGCTAAAGTAATGAAACATGATCGGACCTACAGTTTGTACATATCATACTTTTCGAAAAATGTGGACCTGAGGTGAAGTCAATTTGGGTTATCCCACGTAAATAACGTAAATATGTACCCATTTTTGAGTAGTGACGCTACTTCTTGAATGGTGTAAAAGGTACTATGAAGTTCCTCACCTGTATTATATATATATATATATATATATATATATATATATATATATATATATATATATATATATATATATATATTACGTATGTATTATGTACCTCACCTGCACAAACATCTTTTGATCATAAAGCACATGGCCCGGGACCAGGTCATGACCTACGTCTATTAGTACTTTCTGCAAAACACATCATGAGCTCAAAATAGGCAGTTCAACAAGGGAATTTTGCACACATAATTTTGATAGCCCACTTAAAACGTATCGCGGTATCATTCTAATGCATGATGAGGTCACAATAAGCCATTTGAGGACACACCACGTCATTCGAGGTCATCCAAGGTCAATGACCTATGTTGGCGTGCAACCACTTCATTACTGTGCTTGCAAAGCTCATGGCACATAATTTCGTCCATTAACGTGTCTGTTCTCAGTTTGCTATACACACATCGCCAAGCGTCAAAGGGACTATGGATAATGTGGGCAACAGCTAGCCGATCTTGAGTACTTGTAGATGTACAATGCACTATTTCTGACCACAAACAAGCATTTTATTAGTCACAGAAAACCGGTCAGAACTCAAAATTTAAAATATGAGTGGTTTATAAATTTGACCCAATTTAATCTCAGATGACCTCTATGTCACCCCATAATGACATTTTTGTGTCTGGAATACTTTTGTTCGGCAACCGCACATAATGGAATAAACTTAGATGACCATTTGACAATTTGAAGCTATCTTTGAAGAACATGTTCGATGAAAATTGCATTTAGTTTTAAATTAAGATTGCAAATATGAGGGCACGGATCGTCCAGACTTGTCCTTCATTGTCAGTGAATTTGAAATCGCTCCACTTGGGGCCAAGTCGTAACCCAAAACTTTACTTTTGCTTAACGTTGTGGGACATACTTTAAGGCTTAAGACACATGCAGGCGTATGTACCGAAAGACCCTGAGGCTTCAAGACAGAAGTTGGTACGTGATGTACCATAGTAGATGATAATTAAAAATCCGTCAATAGCTTTTTGGAATAATCAAGCTGTCTTACCACCAATAATCAGATGCGGTAAATATCATCTTCTCTCTTCTATTATCTGCTCTCGGCTGTTCACAAATCTTCCCCTTGCGTCACCATTAATGATTTCACACATATATCTATTTTGCGTTTCCTGTCAAAAATATTCGATCAAGTTGTGTGCGTGAAGCTGTCGTCCAAACCTGGCACCCGTGATATTTTAGCCCGGTCACAGTACGCTTTCAGACATTGTCACTCAATAGAGAAAGCTTTGGTCGACGCCGTTGAGTGGGAGGTACATCGGATTGATGTTGGGCGCATCGCAGCCGTCGCTTCCCTTGATTTCAGGCGTACCTTTGATAGTGTCGACCATGGCTTTCTTCTAATAAAGCTACTGTGATATCGCATTTACCTGAAGTGATTTGAGGGCCACCTTGCTGGTCGAGGATAGGGGGTAAGAGACGGAATTTCTCACTTTTTCTGGCTCACGGCGTCCCTCAGGGATGGTTGTTTGTCCCTATCCTTTCAGCATCTCCACGACTGACCTGCCATCTTATCTCCCTCGCCGACGTCTAGTGCCCTAGCCGATCACACCTAGTTGTTGGACTTTGCTCATCCGGACTAACTATCTGTTTTGAAATCACGACAGCGGAAGGTATCCAAATAATTCAATCCTACTTCACATCTAACTTTCTTAAAGGGAATGTTTCACATCTGGAGATACTAAAGCAAGCACCAGATATGACGAAACAAGCTCATTTATAACTATTGGCATACTTTTTAAGTGGACTTCTCTAGAAAGAACAATTCTCTGTTTAGTTAATATGCTCTCGATGCGTCATTATTTGGTTACGTTATCGTTCCCTGCACAACATCGATTGAGAGCCAATGGGCGGCCATCACATTTAGAAATTGTGCTCACAGACGCCAGATATTAACGACTCGACTATTGTATTTTTCGGCCTTGATCGCTACATGGCTTATGGAATGGCAGGATCCAAATGACGTTATCATGACGTCATGAGCGTCAAGGTGACTTTTGAAATACTCTCCCCGCTATGCCTTTCCCCGTTATTCGTGGCGGTGTAGCTCATCAACTAGAGTAGCTTAAGTCTTAAGAAGGCAGAATCGTGAACAGCACGGAAAGGTCTTCGAGATGGCTATTTCAATTCAAATCCCATATAAATGTGGGACACTCCCTTTAAAATAAGTCCCACTAAAACAACTCCTCTTCCCGACACTCTGCAATCCTTACAAGAAAAACGTATCTTTTTACGCTGTCATGGCGTGGTACAAATTAACGCCTTCGTCTTTCATGAGAAGGCCGGGGAAGGAGAAAGGGTACTGCTGGAAGTACCCTTTTCTGAGGGATGCACATATTTCATGTGGTCAAAAGTGCAGTTATATCCTCTGCTCGTATACAATTCCTCACAACCTAACGCCCGAGGTTCATAAATCCTTCACCCAGCCCCATATTTTCCCTCATCTTCTGTATTGTCTTTCGGTATGGAGTGGGGCTGCAGTGTGCCCCTTAAACATAATGCAAGGGGTGATAAACTGTGCAGCCAGGATCATCACCGGTGCTCGTCGGTGAGATGAATTGACGGCGACTGTTCAAACTCTGGGCTGCCACGATGTTTTCAACGAGGCACCCACCGTGACGGCCTTGCCCTTTTCAGAGCCTTTAGTAACTCGAGGGCTCCGCTGGAGGTCCGATCCCTGATCACCCCACATGCCGCTGCACGTCAGCGTGCCACCCGCACGGCAGCGACGGGTGCCTTGGATCTGCCAGCTCTTCGCTTGTCGGTGGCACGCAGATATTTTCCGTATCGTGCGGTCTTGTCCTGGAGCCGCCTATTGCCGACTATCACCGCCCTTCGCATCCGCAATACGCTTCGCACCAGTCTGAACGATAGGCGGTCTCGTGTAGTAATTGATTACTTGCCGTTTCGTAACATGTTTTGACGATTTAAAATGCGACTGATGATTTTCTTTTCGACGAAGTTGAGTGAGCGAAGAGATGGTTGATAACGTGCGATTGTGGTCGCGTTTCGTCATGTTCTAATGTTGCACCCATACGTCTATTGTAATTGTACCGAGCCAGACAAGCCACTCGTTGGAGCAATTTGTGAATACAATGAACATGAACGTGAACATGAACAAGCTAGGAATTCCCACTGAGTTCTGACGCTTCAGCCACCGCTGGTCAGACGCGTACCGATGAAAACCGCCTGACTTTTGTTGAGCTTCATAATAACAACACAGACATGGATGGCTTTGAATGTATAAAAGTATCGAGGTCAATTGCCTCTCTGAAATAATCACAGTCTTGGAAGTTCCACAACATACAGTTCTGGGCAGGAGGGCTTGGGATCATGTCACAGATGCATGCCACGAGAAACAGTAGCCATGTCATAATAGCGCACATATTTTACCGCACTGGAGCGACGTAATTGGCAAGCCATACCCCGCTACGCCAGGGAGGCTTTCTCACATGCAGAAATCTCCGCACATAAACAAAGGCACATCGTGGGTGCCGATATGCCTAAAAATATACGACTAGGCTCATCAATCAACGGTTTTCTTAACTATATTCTAAAGCATTGCGGGCATAACCAGTGTAAAAAACACACATGATCAATAACAACCGAGTCGAGACGAGGCTCTCTGACGTGATCGATACAGGGAGGCCATTATCAGTAAATCGACTCAGGAGTAGACATCCACGCCCCCGACGCCGAAGTCATGCAGGGGAGAATCAATACCTGAGGGCGCTCTTTAATGCAGAGAAAATGGTTCACAGAAAATCTGCCTACTTTATAAATAGGTGAAAAATG